CAGTGTCCAAAATCTTAAAAATCGGAAAATGAAATGACAGAACATTCCATGGGTCGGTGTTTAAAAATTGCACTTTTTATATTCTGCCGGGTGATCAATGATGCAGTAATATTATTAGCAGCTCGAGAATTAAAAATTACGCTTCTTAGTGAAATCCTTGAGTACAGCCTGTTTCACATTACAGATATATTGGAAGAACTCAGCTTTCCTATTCTTATTACATCAAGTTGAATGAAAGAAGAACTGATGAATGAATAAAGAAAAAACAGTTTAAATGGTGATGAAAAAAACCTCCATCCACTTATTTCGTTTTTCAGCAGGAATTGGCACGAAAGTGGTCCTGTGGCTGTCCACGAAAGTTAAGTCATTGAATCGTAACCCCAGCAATGAGTCCTAATTCATATATATTGGTGACAGATGTTCATAATATAAGTTTGCCAGGTGCTTAGGGCACATAAAGTTATGTTGGAAGAATATATATATAATATATATATTGGATAAATGATAAAATTAGAATAAATTTGTAAAATGCAAGTACTTTGATTATTTAAATAAAAATATCATTTTACAAATTTATCTCCGTTTTATTCACATTTCAAGGGTAGGAAATGCAAGATCTTTAATAAGGTAAATAGTAAGAGTTTTGTTTGCTAGGTAAATTTTGATTCTGGAACATTCACAGGAATGTTTTCTTTTCGATTTGAGAGCTTAATGCCTGAAGAACGGGAGAAGCGTCTCTCTCTCTCTCTCTCTCTCTCTCTCTCTGCTAATATATCTATTAATCTTTGTCACTTTGTTCATTTTCTACTTTTTTTTTTTACCCATTTTTGATCAACATTCCAAGTGTCTTATCAATACATTAGTATCAAAATACAGTCCATTTATTCAATTCATTTTAAAAACTTTTATTTTTTATTTTTTCGAGATTCATTTTAAAAACTTTTATTTTTTACTTTTTTGAGATCTCTTTTAATGTTCATTATGATGCAAGGAATATTACAGTACAACGGAATGATTAACTGATGTTAAACTATTACAGATATAACCGTAACAATTGAACTGAACTGCACTATATGTATAACACTTATTAACCTATCGTTCTCTTTTCCAAGTAAACAAATTAATAGACAGAATTAATTTGTCTTCTGTTATTTTAGCAAAATTGTACATGCGATCCGAGTCTCGAAATCAAAGTCTCGAAAGATATCCTTAAAAATAGGAGCAATTTTTTCATTTTTTCGTAAAAAATTTCAACTTTCCTTATGTTTACTTTGCTTATTTATAACACGCAAAATAATTTGACTATAAATTTGCAATTTTTGTATCATAGAGATTTCCAGTAAATTTTCAAATATTAAACGATAGCACTCGAAAAGTGTGCTGATTGTATCCAATAGCTATGTACTTTCCTGTAAGTCTAAAGTACAGAATTGATTTGAGTAAATTAGAAGGTATCTTACTTTCCTTTGTTTTTTTTTTGTTACCTTCCGCTATGCAAATAGTATATTTAGCGACATCTATTTGAAATTGCTGAGAAATTACAATGTTTATTTTCATTCTCGTCATTTAGGAATTGAATTTAAAAAAGCTGCGAAAATATCAATTTTGTACGGGAGCAAACATTATGAACTTAATGAATAGAATACTGAAATTTTTTGGATTGAGCGATGATTAAATTTTAATAATTTAAAGAATTTTGTTGCAATCTAATCTTTCATTTGGAATCCATTTTGTATTTTGTGAATTAATTTGATTTTTTTGATGATTATTCATAAAATAAAAAAAAAAATGTTCGGGTTCAATGCATTTCACTCGAAAGAGTTCAAAACACTTCAAATCTTGAATAAACTTCGATGTTGATTTTGTATAATTGAATAATTTATCGATTAGTGAGTATTATTTAAAAGGGAAAAATTAAAAAGGATTAAAATTCTTTGGTGGATGGAATTTTTAGTTTAAATAATTTTTTGAATTATCAGTGCTGTTTGCAGAAATTTTTCATTATCAAATGACAATAAAAAAATATAGATGGAAAATTATAAAGCAGAGTAATTTAATTTTAATATTTTCATTGAGTTACTTAACCATGAATATTTTTAGGCCCAAATACCACTTATTGCTAATCTGATATTAGAGATTCATATCTTTTTTCCAGGGCAAACGAACAAAAATTACTGACAGGCATGGAGAAACATGTATTCTGCAGTTTGAATGATAATTGGAATGGTTAAATCTAATCTTTGTCATTTTTATCAATACGAAAAAAATTCAACAAAAAAAAAAAGCAGAAAATTTAATTTTTATCATTTTACAGTGTTGAAGGTACCGATGAAATATCCTTGTATGCTATATTCACTTACTGTCTAATGATGTTTAGCATTTCTATCAGTTATTTTTCCATCTAACAGTTATAACAAAAAGTTATAACAATAAAAAATGTTGTATCAGAAAGAAAAAGCATAAATTCCGAAAGTTTGTTATTTCACAAAATTGACATAGTATTCATTGTTTTGTGATGGAAAGACAAAAATTTTTCAGCTTTTCAATTTGCACAGTATGAAAAGCTGAAAAATTAAAAAACTGAACAGCTAAAATTAAATATTTTCACTGTAATCTTTAAAATTTTTGTCCTTCTATTTTGCGTCATATACTTCAATTACTTTGACTTTGTTTGCATATATTGAAGAGTTGTTCAGCAAATCGTGTTTACTCATCGAGTTAGTACTGTTGAATATTTAGGCTCTTAAGACAATTTTATTTATTACCGGCTTTTTTTTTCCTTTTTGTTCATTACTTCAATGACTAAGTTCGCCTCATATTCGAGTAATCCTCCATTTACACAACAGTCTACTTTCAAAATTTCATTATGATCTTTATTGCTGGAACAGTATTAACAGTTTGCTAACGATCTTACCTGTTGTCTATATTCATACTTTTACACATCTATGAATTTTTTTTTTTTTGGAGATGTCTATTTTAGAAATGGCTTACTTTCTGCGCTTATCGACATATCAAATGCCATTTATCTTCTTGCTTCTTTTTCTGTCGCTAACTTTAACGATCAATTTCGTATCAGCAAGCACTGATGAAAAGCAACTGTATGCTGACTTATTAACCAATTACAATGTACTAGAACGACCTGTAAGCAATTCGAGTACTCCATTAGTTATCAAAATGCGACTTTTCCTTCAGCAAATTATTGACGTTGACGAAAAAAATCAGGTGGTCCAAATTAATGCATGGATCCGATATGCAAGTTTTACACTTTTAATTTTCTTTCTCCCCCCCTAAAAAAAAATAACTGAAAATTTTTTGTAAACTTTTTTTTTGTTATTTTTTCAAAAATTGTAAAATTTAGCTTAAATTGTTAGCT